ACAGTTTGACGGGAAAAATGAAAAAAACTGTTGTACGATGTTCTGAAATTAGTTTGAGCAATATTTGGAATAGCTCTTCCATGAAAAGAATTGTAAAAGAATAGTAAAACTAATGTACCTTACATAGAAAATAAATTTTATATGTAACACTATCAGACTATACAGTAAGAAAATTATAATTATTATAGTGTGCTCAGCTTAGTTTTTGTATATGAATTAGATTTTAATAGGTTTTCAGAAAGCATTGCACAAAGTACAGATGTTAAGCAAATCATTGCATAACTGCAAAATCATATGCTCACAGAAGTATTACAAATTATACTGTTGCACAAAATATATATAGAAAAATAAAGAGAAGGGGGCTTGTCCGGCCACCATCTTGGATGGCCACATCTAGAGGAAGCTCTGGGGACATTGGAACTTTAAATGTCCAAAAGAAGCTTAAAACTACTTCAAATTAAATTATTTTAATAATATTTATTGATTGGAATCTGCAAACAACATGCAGAAAGACAAAAGAACAGAAACAAAATTGCCTCTGTAATGAAAACCTTCAAGAAAAATGTGGCTGGGATGAGTAGAGGCCTGCAGGCCAGATCACCACAAGAGCCACCATCATCGCGTTCGACCCGGTCATCCTCTATGTCCCTTGCTGTCCCTGTAACTCAGGGACCCCCGCACTCATTCCCTTACTGCCAAAGCAGTACATTTAAGCAGTACTTACATTTCCGAGCGCCGAGTCTGCGGCCGCATCAGATGCGAGTGCCACGAGTGTGGGAGACGTGCCCAGGCTCAGAGCTATCTGATTGCTCCAAGCGGCAAAGTGACTTACCCGCAAGCGGGGCGCAGTGCACAGCAAGCCGTGACCTGTCAGGCGGCAAAGCAGCCCGGCTGTGTACTAATACAAGCGGTCGGGCTGCAGATGTGGGGGCGGGCAGCTCGAGATCTCGTTCTCCGCTGGGACCTTCGGCCATGAAGCTGCAGTGCCCGGCGGGAACGGTCTCTGCCCCTGCCACCAAACATATTAAAGAGAAAGCACAAGATACAAGTGGTGTGTGTGAAATCGCACACACCACACAGGAAAATGAGGGGGACATGCACTTCATTTAAAGAGCCAGCAATTGAAGAACAAGCACATTAATTGTCACAGAAAAAGCTTGCCACAACCAAGATGGCTGTCACAACTGATGCACATTTACAATTTAAAGTCACACCATCTTCTCAAGTTATGTAAACCATTGCAAGTTCACCAGCATCTTTAGATACAGTATGGGGAATCTTGCAAGAGATAAGAAATGATTTAAAATAATTCAGAAATGAAGTTAGGTCAGAATTTGCAACAATGAAACAAAGTGTTTCAACACTGGAATATAGAGCTGATACTACTGATGACATCTTAACACATCATGCTGCAAAAATTGAGGATCTTCAACAAAAATGTAAAGCTCTGGAATTACAACTACAGGCTACAAACACCAAAATGAGTGACTTGAAAGACAGAAGGAGGAGAAATAACATTACAGTGTGTGGGATCTCTGACTCTATTCAACCTGCTGAGTTGGCCGATTACTTGAGAGCTATAATGCGTTCAGTACGTCCAAATCTAACTGAAACGGACTTAATGATTAATCATATACATCGCTTTCAAAAACCGGATAACACTCTTAGGGACGCTTCTAGGGATGTAATAGCAAGGATTCATTTTTTAACAGTGAAAGAAGATTTTCTGATGGCATTGAGATCTACTGAGTTTCCAAACGAATTCCATCACATAAAGTCTTTTCAAGATTTTTCCCCTTACACAATGCAAAAAAGGAGAGAATTTGGGCAATTCACCTCTGAATTACGTTGGAGAAATATTCACTACCAATGGGGGTTCCGGGTTAAAGTTTTATTTGTTTGGATGGACACTATTATACCATAGTGTCCCCAGAAGAAGGAATGTATATAATTTAAATATTGCCACAAGAGAAAACTACAGCTTTACAATGATCGCCTATGACGACACCTCACCATCCAAACAAGTTCAGATGTCTGGAGACGATACCTCAACATACTACTCCTGAATTCTGTCTGCGGTTTTTGGCTTCCAATAAATCCTGATTCCTGGATTTTGTTGTGGATGTGAGGTTGTTAAATCCTGATTCCTGTCTTCGATGTTCTCACCCCTGGAATTCCGATTCTTCGTACGAGTTTTCAGATGGCTCCTGGTTCCTGGTTCCTGTTAATGCTGAACGTTTAAAGTGACTGGCTTGCTTTTTATATGAATATTGAAACTTTTAAGCCTTATGTTTATTATATATATGTTTTATATCATCTATAAAGATATTTCTTTTTTTTTCTCTTTTTTTCTTTTTTCTTCTATTCTTATAGTCCATTTTATTAGTTTCTTATTTTTTTATTTCTTTTTTTAAATTCTTTATTTTTGATGTGCAAATTTCAACAACAAGCCGGTATTGCCACATCCGTAGTCACAGGCATAACATCATCTTACATTTTTAAACATGGCAAGTGGAGGATCTGCACAGTTTTATAATTGTTAGATTAAATACTGACATGCTTACATTAGAAAGAACAGGTGATGGTCGCTTAACTGAATTAAAACATTGCAAAGTAGGAGAGATTAAAGAGTTAGAGTCTAGTGTTAAACTGCTAGCCCGTGCAACTGCTAAAAGCTATGTAACTTAGCTCGCTGAGTATGAGGGCATAGCAAAGTGAGCGGAGGGGCTGTATTGGGTAGGAGTAGTGGGATATCTGGCGCACTCGTCCTTTGCCCATAGCATAATAATAATAATATGAATGCTTAAATAGTAGTTATGTTTAGGACTAATGTATATTGCTTAGTATTTGTAAGAAAATAAGATGTCAAGCCATAACAGAGTAGATTAACATGTCTTAAGGAAAGGTATATGCTATTCTCAGAGCAGATAAATAGGCAAGTTATGGTGAGTGTAAGAGAGTGGGCTTAGGCTACATGAATAAGACATAAGGTTTGTGATACCACTGGGATGTCAGTATAGTATGCAAGTTACAAGAGATACAGGGTATAGGCATAAAGAACAGTATTAAGCAAGATTAAATCATCTTAATATGTAGAAGCCACCATGCTGTGTCACCCACTGCCACTTGCGGGCCACAGGCGAGAGTCCCACCGACAACAGAAATAAACTACAGGGTGATTGCACCATATCTCCACCACAGGTCAGCCTGGCTGGGTGTGAGGAAAGAGGGTTATCCGGGCGTCTTGCTAGCTTTTCAGCCGATGCCAGCCAAAGGTAAAGTGCAGTCCCAGATGATGGAGCGAGGCAGCAAGCTCTGCAGCAGTGGTGCTGTCAATCCAGTGCCCTCGTGGTAGGGCATTCCTCTGGGTTCCCTCTGCATCCCTTTGGCTGAGTCCTAATGTTTCCAGTTATGGATATATGGCTTTCATACTACATAATTTGAATGTATTTCTTTCTGCTGTAACATATGGATGCTTTACTTGTTCTGGTCAGGTGGGTAAGTTGGACTTTTCTATCCCTATGCAATTCCAACTTTTTTTACACAGCTGGGTGTGATTTGGGACTCTCACAGATTTGTACATTTTTTTTTTTACTTTTTGATAATTGTTAACTATAAATAATAGATATGGTGATAAAAAAAAATTAACTAAATGTTAGGGGACTAAACACGTAACAAAAAGGTAGGCTATGAATACGGGAAACGAAAACACATAAATCTGGCATTCTATTTCTTTAGGAGACGCATTATAAGCAGGGTAAGATTCCATCTACTCTTGTTCAAAATTAATTTTTTCACAGGTCTTATTCGATTGCTGGCAGATTCAGCATAAAGGAGAGAAGGACTATACATATTACTCAACTAGGTATACTATATATTCACATATTGACAGGCTCTGAATGGGTGAACAGGATATTTTTTGTGTTTTAAGATCTGAAATAACGAATATGACATGGTCAGATCATGCCCCAGTGCTTCTACATATTGAGGAGTTCCTCCAGTCGAATTCAAAGAGGCTATGGAGACTGGAGTGATTATTAAGTCACAAACTTGGAAAACAATTCATTAGCTGAGGAGGCGCTTGAGGATTATTTTAGAAATAATTCGACTCCAAATATTTATGCTACTTCAATATGGAATGCCCATAAAGCTGTCCTAAGAGGTTACTTTATACAGCGGGCCTCATATCTGAAGAAAATTAGATCCAAAAATTTAGAGAAAGAATTATATGATCTCAATCAGGCGAATAAATTTGGCCCTTCCCCCTCTCTTGCCACAATTATGTTGGAAACTAAAATAATGCAGTTCAGTTGGAAAACACGACCTTAAAGGATCACTATAGTGTTAGGAAAACTAAGCGGTTTTCCTGACACTATAGTGCCCTGAGGGTGCCCCCACCCTCAGGGTCCCCCTCCCATGGCGCTGAAGGGGTTAAAACCCCTTCAGCAGTTTACCTTAATCCAGCGCCGGGCTCCCTCGGCGCAGGTGACCTCTCCTCCCCCGCTGACACAGCTCCCCCGTCCGACGTCAGTGGAGCCAAATGCGCATGCGCGGCAAGTGCCGCGCGCGCGCATTCAAAGTGTCCATAGGAAAGCATTTCTCAATGCTTTCCTATGGACGCTCTGCACGATGGAGGCATAATATGAATAAGCCCACATTGGATAAAATTAACCCTTTCTTAGATAAAATCCCTATAAAACAAATATCAATTGATAAATTGGAAACTCTAAATTCTTCTATTTCCCACAAAAAAATAATGGATGTTATTAACATGATTCTGGCTGGCAAGGCACTGGGACCTGATGGTTTCACGATGGCATACTAAAAGTCCTTTTTCCGGTTTATTAGCTCCTCATCTACTTAATTTATTTATTATTGGTCTCATGCAGAAATGCCGGAGGAGGTGTTATGCGGTCAAATATAACATTACCTAAACCTGGCAAAGTACCTAATTTGTGTTAAAATTTTTGCCCGATGTCACTTATTAATAATGATACTAAAATACACTCCAAAATATTGGCAAATAGGTTAGCTCAAATACTTCCATTTCTAATTGATCAAGACCAGGTGGGCTTTGTTTTAAACCGTCAGGCCCCAGATAGCACTAGACTCTATATTAATTTGATTCACCACATTAAAATGAACCGCATGCCTTCTCTGCTCTTATCTTTAGATGCGGAGAAGGTGTTTGATAGGATACATTGGGATCTTTTAAAAATGTCGAGGTTTCATATTCCAGATTCTTTCATTAGGGCTGTGTTTGCATTGTATTGTAATCCATAGGCCACGGTGTCCGCAACTGGCTTTGTGTCTGACAGTTTTGCTTTATCCAATGGGACCAGACAGGGCTGCCCGTTGTCGCCGCTGTTATTCGTGCTGGCAATGGAGCCTTTGGCTGAGTCTATAAGACAGTGCGCGGACATCGAGGGTATTGTGGTGGGAGAGAGGGTACACAAAATAGGCTTATTTGCAGACGACATTATGCTATCATTGAAAAATCCTTCAACCTCAGTCCCATCATTAATGTCTATCTTGCAAGAATTTGGCGAAATTTCTTACTATAAACAAAACACAAATAAAACTCAGGTGCTACCCTTTTTTGTCCCATGGCACATATTGAACACTTTTAAAAAGGACTTTGACTTCGACTGGAGGGATTCATACATCTCCTATTTAGATTTTAATCTCGGTAAGAACCTGTCAAGGAAGCATGCATATAATTTAGATAAGGTCTGGACTGCTTTTAGGGACGACATTGAGAGATGGTGTAGTCTGGAAATTTCTTGGTTGGGCAGAATAAATTTGGTCAAAATGACTCTCCTTCCTAAAATGTTATACGTCTTACTATACCTTCCTCTTTTTTTTTAAGAAGGTTAACTCTGCTCTTCTGACATTTGTCTGGAATAAAACAACGTGCAGAATTCAATTGGCTGTTCTACAAAAACTTAGGGTTAGTGGAGGTATGGGTTTGCCGAATTTGAATCAGTATTATTTAGCAACTAATGCAGCTAATGCTCTTAAATTTAATTTGGAGCATGGTCGCCCACTGTGGTTGGAGATGGAGGCTACTAAGATCTCTCCCTATAAGATAACTTAAGTGTTATGGTCACCCTCCTCTCTTTAGCCGGGAATGATGAACATATTCCCTACCACCAAGACCACTGTTAAGGCTTGGGATGCTGTATTCAAAAAATTAAACCTTCTGCTCTTCTGTCGGTGTTGCAATCCTCATTACCTGATCTAGACATGGAATATTGGCTCTCTCATTCTGTCGAACATATCAATGTTTTATTTTTGTTTAATAAATTTGTATCTTTTGACCAGTTACAGACCAATTTTGGTCTGGGCACCTCTGATGCCCTGATGCACAAACGGATGGTAGAGAAAATTAGTGATCATTTTAAGGTGTCTGAACAGGATTTGGATGTTCGTGTAATAGATATGTCTCCATTAGAAAAAAAATGTACCATTCAAATCCATCTTGATGTGCTACGCTTAGTTTGCCAGGACAATTGATCCAAAATTAGACTACATGACAAAATGGGAGAGCGAGCTGAATGAAACTTTCACAGTTGAGGAGTGGCATAAGATCATATTAGCTTTGAGAAGAGTCACACAATCAAATGCCCTATTAAAATCACATTATAAACTAGTATACAGGTGGTACTTAACTCCCTCCAGACTTTTCAATTTCAAATTATTAAATACAAACAAATGCTGGAGGAAATGTGGACAGGTAGCACATTTCATCATATCTTTTGGTCATGTCCAAAACTCACACAATACTGGATCTTTATCACCCATAATGTGTCTCCTGAAGAAACTCCCGGATGCATTACCCAAAGCTACAGAAATTATATTACGCCATATCCTGATCTCAGCAACCTCAGTTATTCCTCGATACTGGAAATCGGACACTATTCCTTCTATGACTGAGGTAATAAACAACATACTAGAGATCAAGAGGTGTGAATTGGCCTTTAGAGCACCCTCATATACTCTGGAAACCCTAAGGTATGAATGGGGACTCTGGGAATGGGACGTCAGAAAAAGGTATTCACTTTAACACTTACCTCACTTGACCAGACACTAACATAGACACAGCAGCTCTGAGATCTTTATAAACACAAACAATGTCATCTACATATGCAATTAATACTTGAAACATTTACTCATTGTATTCCCCAGTTATATATTTTTTATTTTATTTTTTGTTAAGTTAATTCGTAATTCATACAGTTTTACTGTCATTATTGTTATTGAATATTTTTTAATAATAGTAAAAAACATTTGAAAGAAAAATAAAGAGAAAATAAATTACCATTTTATGGGTAGAATATAATCTTCACCAGAATTCAGTCATGTGCCTAAATTAAAGGGTCATTCCAGACCCCTAAACAACTTTAACTTGCTGAAAAGTTTTATGTATGAAGAGTATGTCCTCTTTATTTCATTTTTCAAAAAGTGCAGATTTCAATAGAAATTGACACTTTTATAATGTAACCTGGTTACACCCACTTGGCCTTCAGGCAGACAAGTACTGTTACTTCCTGGTTTTGTTAGCTGAACGCACCTGACCTCAAGAGGCAGCAATTTCCCAGAGCACCTTACTTACTAAGACTTCTCATTGAGCTGCATTGGGAAGTCAGTGATTGGACAGCCACAGAAAGTCTGGGCACGTTAGGAGGGTAGAGCTAGCAAAGGCAGCAGACAAGAGAACTGCAGGTTTTTCAAGCTGATTTTAGATATATCCCCAATGAAAAAATACATAATTAAATGCTTTCAAGTTTTCATTTTGGATTTATCTACTAAACAGCGATTGTTATTTATTTTGTATTTGGGGAGTGGAGTGTCCCTTTAAATAATTCCAGTAGGGGCACAGTTTTGCCTTGCATATTTTATGGCGTATATAAAGACCCAAGATAATTTTCCCTGTAAAACAGCCGGCTATGATATTGCATGAGACACATGTCTAAGCTCTGTTGCTTTAGACTTTATTACGGAGTATTAAAATGTTTCTGGTACATTCATCACATTGCATGGGTTTGTGCAAAATGAGCAAACATTACGAGACCTCCTGTTGGATATGTGAAATGTTTAATGTTCTGGAAAGAATGGAAATATTCTATGTTACCAATGGTAACGTTTCCTTTTTTTACACCCCCACAGAAATCTGACAAGATATAACATATCATGTTTTTCAGATTCACCTATTAATGTGACACAAGAACCTTGGAATATACCCAGATATTGCTTCAAACGTAGTTATGTATTCATAGGCTTACAGGATGAAATCTTTATTTTTTCATTAAAACAACTGTTTCATTTACACTACTTATACCCATCAAAGTCTTTAAGATTATATGTTCCTATTTAACATTTTCTTCTGTTGGTTTATAGTTAGGTATTATCCCAGTAACACACATTAAACGGTATTTATATAATATGATCTCTTACCTTAATTTGTATATTGTATACATTTTCGTCCCTATGGCAGCAGCATTGCTGAGAAATACATGTTCTAGGAGTAGAGATGTCGCGAACCATCCGCGAACATCTCGCGAACGGTGCGAACTCCGGTCAGCTGACACGTCCCGGCCAATCTCCAGCAGACCCTCTTTCCCAGACCCTCCTACTTCCTGGACAGCATGCTGTCAGCTGTCAGCTGACCGGAGTTCGCCGCGAGAACCGCGGCGAACCGTTCGCGAGATGTTCGCGGACGGTTCGCAACATCTCTATCTAGGAGTGCCCCCAATTAGCTTTTTTTTACTTTACCATATATTGTAGGCCTCCAATTCCTCCAAGCTACTGTAATTCTGAGCATTTGTCTGATGTTGCTAGTACAATAGCAGCACATTACAGAGAACGTGAATTCCTGGCTGCCTGGGTGAAGTAGGTTTCCTTGGAGTATGTTAGATATCACATTGTCTTAAAGGGACATGCCACACACTTAAAGCACTTTATCTTGCTGAAGTGCTTAATGTATGAAGATTGTGTCCTCTGTTTTACATTCTAATAGATTTCAATAGAAACTATCACTTTTATGATGGAACCTTGCCATACCTCCCTAGCTATGTCAACATCCTGGATTGTTTACTTTAGATGAGCTAAAGTCCGAAGGCAGCAATTGCACAGAGCACCTGCATAGACTTCTTATTGACCTGCATTGGGAAGTCCGTCATTGGACAGCCACAGAAAGTCTGGGCCGGGCTAGAAGGGGAGGGCTTGCCAAGGCTGCAGACAAGTAAAGCTGTTTTTATACATCTACTAATGAAAAAATGCATAATTAAATATTTTCATTTCATATTTTCATTTGATGTGTATCTACTAAGAGTGTTTTTTTATTTTATTTTTTTATTTGGGCAGTGGGGTGTCCTTTCACAGAGTTCTGTTACTTAGTTCCTTATTGAGTTGATGACAGGTTGCATTTAGCTTACTGAGTCTTCCTTGGCATCATACCTTCCCCTCCATTCAAATGCATCACGCTGACAGACCAGACAGAGGAGATTGAATAGTACAGGAGGAATACATATGTTCATCAATTCCAAAGAAAATATACTTCTGTATTCCTAAACTCCAAGTGCCAAATATATGTCTGTTCACAGTGCTATACCTATACCTCCTCATTCAGGAAATATCATTGCACTCATGTTATTGCCTGCACCAAACCTAAACTCTGCCAAGGGTCAAATCAAAGGATATTGAAAACAATGGCCAGACACACTCCACGCCATATACTACCATCTTAGTGTTTGCCATGTTTGTTGCAGAGTTTTGATCTGGCTACAGGCTAAGGTACTTAAAGGACCACTATAGGCACCCAGACCACTTCAGCTTAATGAAGGGGCCTGGGTGCCAGGTCCAGCTAGGTTTAACTATTTTTGCTGTAAATATAGCAGTTTCAGAGAAACTGCTATGTTTACCTATGGGTTAATCCAGCCTCTAGTGGCTGTCTCATTGACAGCCGCTAGAGGCGCTTCCGCGCTTCTCACTGTGATTTTCACAGTGAGAAGACGACAGCGTCCATAGGAAAGCATTAAGAATGCTTTGCTATGAGACTGGCTGAATGTGCGCGCGGCTCTTGCCGTCAGTAGAAGGAGGGAGCCCGGCGCTGGAAATAACCCCTTCCTCCCCTTCAGCACCACGGGAGTGGTACCCTGAGGGTGGGGGCACCCTCAGGGCACTATAGTGCCAGGAAAACGAGTATGTTTTCATGGCTCTATAGTGGTCCTTTAATGCAAAATGCACTGCAATAAAGTAATGCTAGCGTAATCCCTGGGAAAAGTCACATGTTTTTTAAAAATCTCAAAAATATGAGAATGTGAAAAACTTCACTAATTCATTTTATAACACAGATAAAACAAAGGTGAGCAGCACCAAAAACACATTACTGGTTTCATGTCTCAAATCATAGGCTACTTTATTTCACACTATGGGTATAGGTTCATCTTTGCACTAATCAATCTGACACTGGTCATTGAGATTTGTCATCAGCATGGTGCTATGATTCTCGTCAAACTGCAAGCTGCATTTCTAATGCATCAGATCTGTGATTATCGTCAATAAGCAAACAAGCATTTCGCTAACTTGAAAAAAAACAATTACTTTATTCACAAAACAAAATGTTAATAAAATATCATGTGCTACACATATAAAAAAAGGGGTACGTATCTGTTCGTGGTGTAATTTCAAATAAAAAAGACAACTTTCTATACAGACTTATATTAAAACTCAGAGTCCACAGTTTATCTCAGAAGTGCCAGTAAGTTTAACTCTATAAAAGAATTAGGTCTATAAATAACATCCCTACCAGCTTCCGATTGAACGTTCTCAGTGCTGGTCCTAAATATCCATAGAACTAAAGATTTTTAAGGACACTGTATTAGTCTTTCTAGTTACGGATTGTCTATAACCGGGGTAGGCAACTTTCGGCACTCCAGATGCTGTGGACTACATCTCCCACAATGCTCTTA